AGCTGCTGTTGACCTGCCTTTTACTTGCACGAGCTCTTCATCACCTGACACATGGGCCACAATCTTACGTGGTGCTGTACGTCGGTCAGCAGCTTCGGCATGTAGTAGTACCGTTGCAGTTGGTGTCGTGTGTTTTCAACCCCGAAATGACCCGAGGTAATTCCATCATGTGCCTCCTGAGTAGCAACTCCCTTAACAGCGAGTATGCGGGTACCTAAATGCGGTTGGTTCTCGGTTTTACTTAATTTTCTCCCTCAGCTTTTGTTAGTGACTGTGGATTTCTGGTGGTGAAAAATGGGTCTGTGCAATATCCGTAGGTGAATAGGCCTGTTAGCTGTCGGTTGGTTTGGGCAAATAGGATGGCGCCAAGTTGGGCAATGGATGAGGGCGTCAACGATATTCGATCCCCCTTTTTTTACGTGCGGTGTAGTGAATAGTGGACTCCGGATAGTCCAACCACCATATCTGTCAGGAATTGAGGTTCGGTTGGGCGCGTAGGTACTGTAGTGAACAGTAATCTGTTTGTACTGTAATATCAGCTTCTGTGAGGTAACCCCGCCACACTTTGAACGCGTGCACGATCGCCAGCATCTCGTGGTCGTGTATCGGGTAGTTGCTTTCGGGCGGGTGAAGCTTGCAGGACCCATACGCGATTGGCTGAAGGCCGTTCCCAAAGCCATGCAACAATACTTCTCCCACAGCGATGTCACTTCCCTCGATGACCAGTTCGAACGGGTTGTGAGGATCAGCAATGTGAAGCACGAACAACGAAGCACTTTGCTCTTTCTCCCCCCATGTGTACTCAGCCCCCTTCTTTAGCAGATTGGTTAGTGGGGCAGTCAGCTTCGCCATGTCGAGGACGAACCGACGCACGTAGTTGACGAACCCCAGAAAACTTTGCAACTCGGTCAGGTTTGTCGGCGCGTGCCATGCTTGAATCGCCTGTCAGACTTATATGCTATAGTCTGTGTAGGCTGTAGTGGGGTAGACAATATGGGGTACAACACTTTTAGGTCATCCTACTTGTACCCACCTGTTTCCTAGTGCATTCACTCCTTGTTCTTTCACATGGTATAGAGCAGGTTCCCTAGTGGGAACGTTTCCTAGGGCCCACCGAAAATTCGAAAGTTTTTTTTCCTGCCCGGAGCGCACTTCACCCCTGCCCGAGTCGCGCCCCGCGTCCCCTGCCCTTAGTGGCCCCTTAGCCGCTCCCTCGCGGCCCCTCTCACGGCCCCTCGCGGCCCCTTAGCTGCTCCCTCGCGGCCCCACTCACGGCCCCTCGCGGCCCCTCGATCACGGCCCCTCGCGGCCCCTTAGCCGCTCCCTCGCGGCCCCTCTCACAGCCCCTCGCGGCCCCTCTCACGGCCCCTCGCGGCCCCTTAGCCGCTTCCTCGCGGCCCCTCTCACGGCCCCTCGTGGCCCCTCTCACGGCCCCTCGCCCCCCCCCCCCCCCCCCCCCCCCCCCCTCCGCGGCCGTTCGCGGCCCCTCGCGGCCCCTCTTGCGGCCCCTCCGCGGCCGTTCGCGGCCCCTCGGCCCCTCTCGCGGCCCCCTCGCGGCCCCTCGTGGCTCGTCGCACGGCCCCTCCGCGGCCGTTCGCGGCTCTCGCGGCCACTCTCCCGGCCCCTCGCGGCTCGTCGCGGCCCCTCCGCGGCCCCTCTCCAGGCCCCTCGTGGCCCCGTCGCGGCTCCCTCGCGGCCCCGTTGCGGCTCCCGCGTCGCCCCTGCCCGCCGCGGCGCCCTGCCCTAACCCGCGCCCTGGAGCAGGCCCCACTTCAGCCCTGCAGCAGCCGCCCCCTGCAGCAGCCGCGCCGCCCCCTGACCGCCGCGGCGCCCTGCCCTAACCCGCGCCCTGCAGCAGCCGCCCCCTGGAGCAGCCGCCACTGCAGCAGCCGCCCCTGGAGCAGCCGCCACTGCAGCAGCCGCCCCTGGAGCAGCCGCCACTGCAGCAGCCGCCCCTGGAGCAGCCGCCCCTGCAGCAGCCGCCCCTGGAGCAGCCGCCACTGCAGCAGCCGCCCCTGGAGCAGCCGCCACTGCAGCAGCCGCCCCTGGAGCAGCTGCCGCTGCAGCAGCCGCCCCTGGAGCAGCCGCCCCTGCAGCAGCCGCCCCTGGAGCAGCCGCCCCTGCAGCAGCCGCCCCTCGAGCAGCCGCCACTGCAGCAGCCGCCCCTGGAGCAGCCGCCCCTGCAGGAGCCGCCCCTGGAGCAGCCGCCCCCTGCAGCAGCCGCGGAGCCCTCGCCCTGCAGTGGTAGCGGCCTCCCCGTTGCCGCCGTCGTACGCCTGCCCTTCTCGCCACTGGTGAGCACTGCCCTGCCCGTACTGCTGTTACTGCTGCTCTTGCTGCTACTGCTCTTTCTCCTGCTACTGCTGCTTCTGCCGTGGCCAGATGCAGCTCCAGCGCCGTCCGCGTGAGTCCCTCGCCCCCCAACAGCTTCGTGAGTGGTACGCTAGTTGGGGTTGTAGGGGTGGCCGCGCTACGACTACTGCTACTGCTTCTACTGCTGCTACTGTGGCTACCACTGCTCCTCCTGCTCCTGGCGGTGGCCAGATGCAGCTCCAGCGACGTCCGCGTGAGTCCCTCACGCCCCAGCAGCTTCGTGAGTGGTACGCTACTTGGGGTTGTCGGGGTGGCCGTAGTGGGAGTCGTTCTGGCGTGAGGAGTTCGGGAGCTACTTGTAGTGGCCAGGTGCAGCTGCAGAGGCCTGGCCGTTTCTGGTAACGTTGAACCTGGGAGGGGAAGGCAACGAGAGGTGCAGCGTTTATTGAGAGTAAACACCGGAACAGGACAGCAGGAGACGAGAGAGGCTGTTGGCATGCCGCAGGAGGCAGCTGTTCAACACTCTCAAAGGCACGCCGCTGCAAGGGATTCCGTCCTCCATGCGACCCACGAGGCACCTATGGCCTTCCCATCCCCTTCTTCTAGCCTCAGAATTTGCCCTCTCAACTTCCGGAGGCAAGGAAGCCCCTTTGGTTCGAGGTTTGCATGCACCCACCAAACCACCCCTGTCATCAGGGGCCGCCACTATTTGGATGAAAAAAATATAAAATATAAAAATACTTTCCTATTTGTCCCCCTCCGATTGCAAGCCGTTCACCAAAAGGTGTTAGGTGTTTCCCCTGCACGTGGAGCGTAGCACCCCAGGGTCCCCTCGTGGGCACGAAGCCGTGGTCTGGCTCACCTCGTGCCAGCCTCACCTGGTGCGCACGAAGCCATTATAGAGCGACCCGTAGTAGAAGGTGTTGACGAAGTGAGTGTTAAAATATATATTGTGTAGCATGCCAACACATGTGACTGTACACCAATTGTGGTGTACAGTTGGGTTGGGACTACACCCAACTTTGGGTGTAGTCTTGCACTTTGGGGTGCCAATCCACCCAATTGTGGTGGAGCCCCCAAATGCAACCCTTTTGACTTGTGGGTACCTCACTTCCCACAATTGAGGTTACCCCAAGCCAAGTGGGCCTAGGGTTGCCTCACTTCTACAAAGTGTGGGCAACCCAACCCACTTGACCTATGGTTCCCTCACTTCCCCAAGTGAGGTCAACCCAACCTATGGTCACTTTCATCCTTCCCTTCCAACCTTCCCTTCCAACTATGTATGCTAGGTTGTTCCTCTAATCTAATGACTTGTTCAATTCACAATCTTCACATGGTATAGAGCTAGTTGTTCCTAAGCCTTTTCTCTCCCTCCCTCAAAGTTTTTTCTTCCCCATGGGCCCACCCCACAGCCACAAACCCCCTACGTGTGGCTCAACCTAGCATCTCCTTGGCACGACCTACGTCGTCGCCGCCCTCCCCTCCCTCCGCCGTGATTGCGCCCTCCTCGCCTGCGGATCCCACCGCCGCGAGTGCATCACCGCCCCCCGTCGCCGCGACACACCGTCGCTGCCCCCCCCCCCCCCCCTCCCCCTTTTTTCCGCCGCCGCGCCTTCTCTGGCGCCGCCTGCACATCCCGCCGCGACGCCTCGTCGCCGCCTCCTCCTCCCCCTGCCGCGACCCCCCGTCGCCGTCTCCCTCCCGCCGCCGCGCCTACTTCGGCGTCGCCCGCGCATCCCTCCGCCGCGACGCCCCGTCGTCGCCTGCCCCTCCCGCTGCCGCGACGTCGCGTCGCCGCCTCCCCCCACCGCCGCCGCGCCTTCCTCGGCGCCGCCTGCGCATCCCGCCGCCGCGACGCCCCGTCGTCGCCTCCTGTCCCGCCGCCGCGACTTCGCGTCGCCGCCTGCACTCCCCATCGCCGCGACCCCCCGTCGCCGCCTACGCATCCCGCCGCCGCGACCCGCTCGTCGCCGCCTGCACGATCCGCCGCCGCGACTTCGCGTCGCCGCCTGCACGACCCGCCGCCGCGACTTCGCGTCGCCGCCTGCGCATCCCGCCGCCGCGACCTTCTCGTCGCCGCCTGCACCCCTTGCCGCCGCGACCTTCTCGTCGCCGCCTGCACCCCTTGCCGCCGCGACCTAAAGTCGCCGCCCGCGCGACCTCCTGCCGCGACCTGCTCGTCGCCGCCCGCACATCCCGTCGCCGCGACCTAACAATCGCCGCCCCCCGCATCCTACCGCCGCGACCTGCTCGTCGCCGCCCGCGCATCCCGCCGCCGCGCCTTCCTCGTCGCCGCCCGCGCATCCCACCGCCGCGCCTTCCCCGTCGCCGCCCGCGCATCCCTCCGCCGCGCCCTCCTCGTCGCCGCTCGCTCATTCCGCCGCCACGATTCCCTCGTCGCCACCCGCGCATCCCGCCGCCGAACGTTCCTCGTAGCAGCCGCCTCATCCCGCAGCAGCAGCGTCATTGGCAGCAACAGCTTCGCCCACAGCTACACCTGCGTTCTCCCTCCCCCTCCCCCTTTCCTCCTCCTCTCCTCCCACGCAGCAGCAGCCGGGACAGCTCAGCAGCCACAGCAGCAACAGCGGCAGCAGCGGCAGCATTAGGAGCAGCGATAGCAGCGGCAGCAGCTGCATCCACCATCTTCCTCCCCCTCCTCCCCTCCCCCCCCCTCTCCTCCCTCTCAGCAGCAGCAGCGGCGGCAGCAGCGGCAGCAGCGCCAGCAGCGGCAGCAGCGGCAGCAGCGGCAGCAGCGGCAGCAGCGGCAGCAGCGGCAGCAGCGGCAGCAGCGGCAGCAGCAGCAGCAGCCGGAGAAGAACTCCACTCCCCGCAGCAGCAACCCCTCCTCCCCTCCCCCCCCCTCTCCTCCCTCTCAGCAGCAGCAGCGCCAGCAGCGGCAGCGGCGGCAGCAGCGCCAGCAGCGGCAGCAGTGGCAGCAGCGGCAGCAGCGGCAGCAGCGGCAGCAGCGGCAGCAGCGGCAGCAGCAGCAGCAGCCGGAGAAGAACTCCACTCCCCGCAGCAGCAACCCCCCCCCCCCTCCCCCCCCCCCCCCCCCCCCCCCCCCCTCTCCTCCCTCTCGGCTGCCGCGGGTCCACCCGCCGTCGCCCTCCCACTTGACCGCCGCGGGTCCACCCGCCGCCGTCCACCTCGAGGCCGCCGCGGGTCCACCCGCCGTCGCCCCTCATGGCTACCACTCCTCCCCCTCTCCCCCCTCCCATTGACGCCTCCTCCGTCGACAAGCTTCAGCTTGCCGCGGACCGCTCGGCGATCAACTGGCATTCCTTCGTCGGGAGCATCCGCCGTGTTCTCCAAGATGCATTCGTCGGACCCTACTGCGTCCTTGACGTCCTCCTCCGCCGCCCGCAAGCCCTCCAGCCCACGGCACCCAATCACCCCGGCGAACCCCCTCCACCCCCCATTCCTCCTGGTCCTCCTCCTCCTGAACCCACCTTGGAGATCGCCACTTCCCCAGCGCTCCAAGATGCCGCCGATGCCGCATTTCTCCACGATCGCCGCGAATACCTCATCCGCAAGGCGGAGCATGAGGTTGCGGTACATAACCACGACTTCGCGGTAGCGGAACGCGCCAATCGCCTGGCGCTCCTTGATGAGTACAATACGGCCATGGCGGACTACCTCCCTCGGAACATCGCATGGGCCACTGCTGACAACCGCGCCTGCACCATCCTCCTCGGCGCACTCCCTGATACCCTCATGCGCCGTTTCCAAGCTCGCGAGATGCGCGCCTCCCTCATCTGGGCCGAGCTCCAGGCCATGTTCGAGCGTCGCGACATCAGCTCTGTCGGCGCCCTGTTCCAGGAGTACTTCTCCATCACCCTCGCCACTTGTGATGGCGCAGTTGACTACGTGGGGCGCATGCAGGAGGTCGCTGATCGCCTTGCGGCACGCCAAGCTGCCCTCCCCGAGCCCCTGCAAATCCACCGCCTCCTCTACAACCTCACCCCGGACTACGAGTCCCGCCTCCATGCCTTCACTGAGGCCAACCCCATGGCCGGCCTCGACGACGTGGTCCAGTGGATCATTGACACGGAGGTCAAGCTCCGCACCCCCGTTGTCAACCTTACCACCCCTCAGTCCTCCTCCTCCACCTCCCTCAACGCTACGCAGCCGCGCAACCAGGGTGGTCGCAGCGGCGGCGGCGGAGGCCGTGGAGCGGGTGGCGGTGGTGGTGGTGGAGGCCGTGGTGGTGGCGGTGGTGGTAGTGGTGGCCGTGGTGGCCGTGGTGGCGGTGGTGGTGGTGCTGGCAGCGCCCCTGCTGGAGGTGCTGTGACTCGAGGCGGACGCCCTGGCACTCTCCCCCCATGCACATATGTGCGTCGCCATGGTCCCCATGCAGGTACCCCTTGCGGCCAGACCAACCATCCCCCCACCACGTGCTTTAAGGCACTCGACGACGCCTGGTTTGATCGCGGCAACACTGGCACCCCTCCTCGCTGGAACTCGGTCACACCTCGCCCCTCCTTAGTGGACATTCAAACCCTCCCCTCTTTCCTTCCTGCTCACCTCCGCATGGTTACCCCCTCCCCACCCTCACAGCTGCAGCAGTTTCAGCAGCACCAGCAGCAGCAGCACCTGTACTTCCACCAGCAGCAGCAGCAGCCGCAGTTTCTCCAGCCCCAGCAGCCGCCGCCGCCGCAGTTCTTCCAGCCACCGCCGCAGCAGCAGCAGCAGTTCCTTCCCCCACCCTGGCAGCAGCAGCCACTCACCTTCGGCACAGCGGCCATGGCCGCTCATACCTCCCTTCCTCCTCCTCCCCCCTGGGGTTCCCTCCCCTCTGCCCCCCCCAGTGTTCCCGACACTTCTGGTAGTTTCCTTGGTAATATCAGTGTTGCACCGTCCGTCGCTGCCATGTATCCCTCTGCTATCAATGAGACTTCGTTTCAGTACCCCGTCCCACCCCCTCCTCCCTCTTCTCCCACCCTGGACTTTGTCCTTGACAGTGGAGCCACTGAAACCGCACTGAAAGACGCTGGCACTCTCACCCCACTACCACTTCCCACTCAGGTTCATGGGGCTGATTCCAGCTTTTCCATTCCATGCACTCACCTCTCCACCCTCCCTTGCACTGCCTTCCCCTCCGGTAAGGTCACAGGTCTCCACATCCCCACTCTCCGCAACAACCTCCTCTCCCACCGTGAGCTCCAAGGTGTTGGTATCACTGCCATTTACCCCGGTTATGCCAATTACTGTGATCTCTACCAAACCTCCTCCGGTCGCTTCCTTCTCCGCATTCCGCTTTGCCCCCGCACTCGCCTCTACACACTCCGCACGCCTCGCCCATCCTTCTGCCACGTCACCACTCGTTCCGGTGCTTCCACCGGTCCACCTCCTCCTCCTTTACTTCCCCCTTCCCCTCCCCCTCAAGTATCCTCTTCTCCCTCCCCACCATCCTCCTCCTCCCCTCCCGTTCCTTCCATCACCCCATCTCCCTCCTCCTCCACTACCCTCTCCCACCCTGCTGTCCTCTTACACCACAGACTCGGCCATCCCAACTTCACCGCCCTTCGCACCACAGTCACCTCTCGCCTCCTCCGCAGCCTTCCTCCTGTTTTACCTCCCCTCCCCTCCTCCCCCTCTCCCCCATGCCCTTCATGCATTCACGGCAAGCTCAAACAGTCCCCCCACCACAGTCATCCCACCTTCGCCGCCGCCCCCATTGACCTTGTGCACATGGACCTCTGGGGCCCCTATCCCATCCGCTCCCGCCAGGGGCATCGGTACATGCTCGTCCTCGTTGACGACCACAGCCGGTACTCCACCACCTTCTTCCTTCACACGAAAGACCAGGTGCCGGCATTGGTCATCAACTGGGCCGAACAGTGCCGCAATCACTTCAAACGCCCCATCGGCCGCCTTCACTCTGACGGTGGGGGTGAGTTCATCAATAACACCCTTGCCACATACTGCAACACCTACGGCATCCAACAGACCTCCACCCTTCCCCACTCCCCTCAGCAGAACGGCATTGCTGAGAGCCGCATTCGTGAGATCACCAAGATAGCTCGCTGTCTCATTGCTCATGCCTCCACCCCTCCTTCCCTCTGGAGCTATGCCCTCCTCCACGCCGCTCTTCTCCTTAATCTCCGCTCCCACCCTCAGCATCCTTCCTCCTCCCCTACAGAGCTTTGGTCCAACGCCAAACCCGACGCTGCCGGCCTTCGCGTTTGGGGCTGCAAGGCCTTCGTTCTCATCCCACCCGCCGACCGCTCCCGCGCCGCTGGCAAGCTTGCTCCTCGCGCCCTGGAATGCGTTTACCTTGGGCACAATCGCGACTCCCCAGGCTACCTCTTCCTCCACCCTCCCACCAATCGCCTCATCCGCAGCGGCGACGTCGTCTTCGACGAATCCGTCCCCTATTACTCCACTCCTCCCCCTGATCCTCTCCCTCCTCCCACTCGTCCCCTTGCTTGGACCGACACCGTCCTCCCGCCCCTTCTCCCTCCAGCCCCTCTCCTCCCACCCGTCGCAGCTCCGCTCCCGCCCTCCTCCTCCGCCGATGTCTACGACCCTGCCGCACCCGCTTCCCCCGCTCACTCGGCCGCACCCCCTCCCCCCCCTCCCTCCTCCTCTCCCTCTCCCTCCTCCCAGCAGCCGGATCAGCAGCAGCAGCAGCAGCAGCAGCCGCAGCAGCAACAGCAGCAGCAGCAGCAGCCGGGACAGCAGCCGGGGCAGCAGCAGCAGCAGCAGCCGGGCCAGCAGCAGCAGCAGCAGCCGGGCCAGCAGCAGCAGCAGCAGCGGCAGCAGCAGCAGCAGCAGCCTCAGCAGCCGCAGCACCAGCACGGTCAGCCGCAGCCGCAGCAACACGGGCAGCAGCTTCCGCAGCACCAGCAGCAGCAGCGGCGTCGTGCCACTTCCCGTTCCTCCCCCTTCCTCCTCCCTTACATCCATACCCGCTCTGTGGACAAAATCCTTGGGGCTCCTCCTCCTGCCTCCCTGAGGAGCGGTTGGCGAGGGTGTCAAAGGCGAGTAGCGCCACAAAAAACGCGCGCTGCCTGCGGGAGAAAGAAGAGGGGCGATGGAGTGGAGAGGGGCAATGGAGTGGAGAGGGGCGATGGAGTGGAGAGGGGCGATGGAGTGGAGAGGGGCGATGGAGTGGAGAGGGGCGATGGAGTGGAGAGGGGCTATGGAGTGGAGAGGGACGATGGAGTGGAGAGGGGAGATGGAGTGGAGAGGGACGCTTGATTGCACGAGGCTGAGGAGGCAGGCAAAGAGACGAGGCGGAGGGACATGGAGTGCAACGCAGCAGGGGAAGATGGGTGTAGCAGTGGGGCAAGGATGGTATGTCATGAGGGGGACAGAAGGAGGGAAGAGGAGAGGGAGATTGGGAGACAGGGGGGTGTGATGGACACAGCACCTGCAACCAATGTCGAACGCGTCCCCAGCTCCATCGAATGCTGCCACGTGCAACAGCAGTGATATCAGTGGCAGCAGTGACAGCAGTAACAACAGCAGCGGCAGCAGCGGCGGCGGCAGCAGCGGTGGCGGCAGCAGCAGCAGCGGCAGCAGCGACAGATCATGCGAGCCAAGCAAGAGCACACCAAAGCAGGGCATGGATTCTTGTTAGAATTACACATTGTGCTTTTTCAGGAAGCTCAGAAGAATGCATAGGAGTAAAATCAAGAGCAGATTAGGAAGTCAGAAGGACAGGTAGGTGCTGTGGTGACACCAAACATGATTGATATGAGATGTCCCAACCCCAAGGTCCCTGGTCGAGGGTAGAAGGGCCAGTCACGAATGGGGACCAGTCACGAATGGGGACCAGTCACGAATGGGGACCAATCACGAATGGGACCATTACATATCAGTGAAATTCCCTTCCTTGCCGCACCTTGCGGCCCCTCGCCTTGCAGTCTGCCTGTTATTCACAAGTGTCCGAGTGAGACACTTCCTATCCAATCAACACCGCCCCCGTGCCCTACACCGCTGGGCCAGACCTCTGGGCTGAAACCAAGTTGAAACAGAAAATGAGGGTCGCGACGCAAGCAATGCATGTCCATTAAATACGCAGACAATAGGCTAGGCGCTACACAGGCCATTCCTCGCCCAAGTCTCCCGGTCCCACCAGTCACAGAGAAGCATGTGCGCTGGTTGACAAAAGCGCGCTCTGCCCCCGCCCCCTCCACCTCCACTCGCCCGAACCTCGCCACCCCCGTCACGTTCCACCCTTCCCCCGCCCTCCGCTCCTCCTCCACCCCGCACTCCCTTTCCGCCCCTTCCTCCTCCCCACGCATTGCTGCCTCTCCTGCCTTCGCCCCCTCCTCCTCCCAACGCATTGCTGCCTCTCCTCCCTCCGCCCCCTCCTCTTCCCCACGCATTGCTTCCTCTCTTCCCTCCGCCCCCTCCTCCTCCCCTCGCATTGCTTCCTCTCTTCCCTCCGACCCCTCCTCTTCCCCACGCATTGCTTCCTCTCCTGCCCGCGTGTCCGCCAGCTCTTTTGTCGCCTCATCCTGCGCCATCCGCATTACAGAGTCACGGCTTGCCCCTCCATCCTCTGCGGACCCCACCTGCTGCTCCGTTATAAGCAGCCACGCTGCTCCCTGGTCTCGCTGCGACTGCTGCCCCCACTGCGATCGGTACACCTTCACGGGCTGGTGGATAACTGAAGGTCAGCGCAGAGATTAGGGGGAGAGGAGTGCCGCGCCAGCGGATGTGGATGAAATGAAGAGCCGTTTTGTTGGTGGGTGCGGGAAGGGGAAGAAGGAGAAGTGGTTTGAATCGTTTTGCAGCGCTGATAAACGCATGAAACAAGTTTGCGACTGGTAACACGGTAACACTGCGTCCTGAAAAGCGTGCGACAGAAACCATGCACGAAGGTGTGTACGCTGGGACAATGCGACATTGGCCGTGGTCCAGTGATGGTTTGACACACCGCCACAATTGTGAGTACAGAATAGAACCTATAGCAATGCCCAAACATTCCAATACTCTGTTCCCCTTTCACATCATGTGTTGCGAGCTTGGGTAGGTGACGAGTTGCAACGAGGGGTTTTTAAGGACATGAGTACACCTCAGGGCGTGTCATGCATAGTGTTCAGCCCATAAATCACTATTCTGGCTGGCATGTGGCGGTTCAAAGCGGTGGGGCAAACATAGATTAACGCACATCTTAGTCAACCGGCGCTTCAAATGAACTGAAAGTTCCCCAAGCATGACACGCCCTAAAACACTGCGCATAAAATAATATGCGCAAGTTTGGAGCATAATATCATTGCAAAATAGAAGCATTCGGACTAAGTCAGTTGCAAATTCGCCTGCCAGGCGACTACGGTGCTGCACTCACGCGCTGCTACGTCCGGAGGCGAATAAGTGAGCACGGTGTGAACGGCAAAGTAGACGGTCAGCAGCGCGCCGAGCCGCAGCAGGGCGGCGACTGCTGATCGGATTCTCAGGCGCCGCTGCTCGACTCGATTCGTCGCTCCTGCCAACCCTCCCATTCTCGTACTAAATATATTAGGATTTTGTGCCTCGGCCTAATCTCGGGCGATATTACTCGAGAATTGGCGACAGTACTACTAGAGATGGTACTGTTTTCAAGATCCATTCCGAGATCTATTTCCGCGGCGATGCTTTTCAAGCGGCAAAGCTTTGTGCCGGCGCTAGCAGGCGGGAAAGAAGTGGTACAGTACCAAACTTTCTGATTGATGCCACAGATAACCTGGCATGATGTCCCGATCCATATCTGTAGTGTCGAGCATAACGGGCTCTGACCCACCACACGGCCGGTCCGACAACGAACGCCCGCTAGCAGTCACGGCCGGCTCGGTACGCGCCATGAGTAGGGACGCGGGAGGATCGAGTGTGAACTGTAGTGAGGCGAGAAAACACAATGTTAGAGTGAAATTGTGTAAGGCTGTCACCGCTTTGTCTCCGTTAGAGTGAAATTGTGCAAGGAATTTTCCTAATTCCTTACTGAGGCACTCCATACGCGTACAATTCCAACTTCTCAGAGTTCAGGCCCGTTCCGCCGACCTCGCCTTCCGAACGTCCCTCGCGTCGCCTTCGGGTTTCCCAACCCCAAACCTACACCCAACCATCTCGCGACTCCGCGACCTCGGCCTAGCTAGCCTTGCTACATTATGCCTAGCCCTCGTTGTTTTCTCAGTAGTTGTAATCACTTCCGCGATATTGCATTCAGCGCACTCTTCTTTCGTACAACTCATAACACTTGGTATCAGAACTACTTTCCTAGGTTACCCTCCACTTTCCGGGGTAGTTTTAGTGCAGGGGTGCGATAGACTTTGTGGGCTGCAAAGCGGTCGGCTGAGAGATAGATACGATTATCTCGCTCCGACTAATAGCGTTTGCGCCTTCATCAAAGTCAGAAAAATCGTTGTTAACCCGCTGCCCGTTAGGATGAGTCTCCGAAACATGAATCAAGCCGAGTTTGGCGCGTTCATGCAGGACTTTCGGACGATGCAATCCAACACGCAGACTATGTCTGGCGAGTTGGAGCGCCTGGGGGTGGAAAACGCCGAACTATGCCAGGCGCGAAGTGAAGCGCGCCAAGAGTCGCCCGTCGTGGATGAAGCAAGTAGCAGCTCATCACTCAACGAGAACTTGTTTAACGAGCTGGATGCTTCGCAGGACGCTGAAGAGGAGTGGGCGGCAAGACGGCAACAAGCACGGGAAGCGCCAGGGCAACAACCACAGGAGCAGGCAACGCCAAGGCAACAGTCGCAAGCGCTGCCACGACAGGCACCAGCGACAACCCAGACGATGGCTTCAGTGGCGTCCCCAGTGCATGCGGCAGCAACAGTCTCAACAACTGTCAAGATAAAACCGACGAACCCATCCCCGTTCAACCCCAGCGACAAAACCGTCACTGTGTCTGCGTGGTTGTTCGGCGTGGAGGTCTTCTTTGATGCTGCGCAAATTGCTGATGATGTCACTCGCATTAATTTTGCAGTGTCACTGTTACGCGGACCTGCGTTGGAGTGGTGGAAGCGGACTCTTAAGACAGAGGGGATTTCGGCAGGACTGTCACGTGCGAACGACGGGACCTGGACATCTGTCACGCAACTACAATCTTCGGAGTGGCCACGATACGTACATGGACGGAGTGGGGCGCCGCGCTGCGAGCCTGATTCGAGCACGTATCCGCCTCGGATTCTGCTCGCATGAAGCTGCGTACTTGGAAGTAGGTGACATCGGTCCACGACTACACGGCAACGTTCTGCAATTTGGCCGACCAGGTGGATGACATGAGTGACGAGGAGCGACTCAATCGATACGTCGCAGGCCTCAAATACGAAGTACAGTACGAGGTGCGACGAACGAGGCCACGCGATTTCCTCGATGCTGTCCAGATGGCCGAATCAACGGACGCGCTGATGCAGTGGGCGAGAATGAGTTCCCGGGAGGGCACTCAATTTCGCGGATCGCCTCGCCAGCCCACAATCAACGGTGTGGATGCGCCAAGGCGTGGACTGAAAACGTGCTTCAACTGCAACCAACCAGGCCACTGGAAGAAGGACTGCCCGAAGCTGAAACAGGGAAACAGGAACGACGGAGAGGGGTCGGGAAAAGAGACGAGTCAGTAGCAGTCGGGCCACCTACTGACGAGACCCCGTCGCCCGGCAATCATCGTCCACACCGAGTAGTGGTACCGATACGGGCTATCGACCGCAACCGGACGAATAAAGTGGATGAACACGTGGATCACCCTAAGCTGTTAGTGGGGAGGGTTAACGGCTATAAAATAAAACTTTTCGTTGACGGTGGGGTGAGCCACAGTCTCGTCAACCTGGCAATGGCCACATAAATCTGAGTTAAGCCGGACAGGTGTCTGCCTGACATTGACGCGCGACTGGTGGACGGGACACCGCTGGCGATCAAGGACTAGGTGCGACAAATTCGGATGAAGTGTGGCGACGATTTCAGGTTTTCAATTAAGATGCCGGCGACAACACTGGACGGTTGCGATGTGCCTTTAGGACGAGATTGGCTGCATTGATACAATCCTACGATCGACTGGACGACGGGAGCGATCACGGTGCTAAGCAACAATGGGCGCTTGACACTTCCGAAATGGGCGGAGCCGGAGCCGATGACAACACTTGTCAACGCGATAACGCTGAAGAGGGCGATAAAACTGGGAGCGCAAGGCTACGCCGTACAGCTATACGAGGTGGTTGCATCCGAGAAAATCGCCGACATTGACACGCTCTGCACTGCTGTACCAGGGGACGTGGCGAGCATAATTCAGAGGTATCCTGAAATTTTCGCGGATGACCTGCCTGACGGACTGCCACCTCAGCGACCAGAAGACCACAGGATCGAGCTGGAGCCAGGCGCAAAACCAACTGTTCGGTCATAGTGGCGGCTCAGCCAACCGGAGCTCGACGAGTTGCGGAAACAGCTGGATTATCTGCTCTCGAAGGGTTTTATCCAGCCGAGAACGTCACCATACGCCGCCCCGATATTGTTCACGCCGAAGAAGGATGGAGGCCTGCGCATGTGCATCGACTATCGAGCGCTGAATCGGATCACCATCAAGTCACATTACCCGATTCTGCGAGCGGAAGACCTGCTGGATCAGCTTCGCGGGGCTCGCTTCTTCTCGAAAATTGACTTGCGAGGTGGCTACCATCAAATTCGCGTGTTCGCCGACGACTGCCCGAAGACTGCATTTCGCACCCGCTACGGCAGTTACGAGTACACTGTGATGCCGTTTGGGTTGACAAACGCGCCCTTGACCTTCCAGCTCACCATGAACAAGGTGTTTCGAGACATGCTGGACAAGAAAGTTATCGTCTACCTCGACGACATCCTGGTGTACAGCAAGACTCGGGAGCAGCATTTACTGGATTTAGAGGAGGTGTTCCGGCACTTGCAGCAGAACCGACTGATTACTAAGGGCTCTAAGTGCAAGTTCTTAGAGCCGGAGCTGGAGTTTCTGGGGCACGTGGTTTCAGGGGAGGGTATTAAATTTGACCCTCGCAAAGTGACGGCAATTTCAGAGTGGAAGCCGCCCACGAACATCACTGAGTTGCAGAGTTTCCTCGGCTTCGTTAACTATGTCCGCTGTTTTGTACCGAATATGGCGGGGGTAACCTGGCCGTTAACCGATCTTCTGCATATAGGCATGCAATTCTGTTGGGGGGAGAGAGAACAGTTGGCCTTCGACGAGCTGAAGAAAATTTTGAGTTCACCCCCGGTGCTTCGGTTGGCAGACCTATCTCGACCGTTTGAAGTCGTGACGGATGCCAGCGATTTCTCCGTCGGCGCCGTCCTTCTACAGGAATTCGGCAACGGGCTGCAACCAATCGCGTACGAGTCACGGAAAATGCAGCCACCCGAGCGCAACTACCCTGTACACGACAAAGGAATGCTCGCCATCGTGCATGCATTTCGTACCTGGCGGTGTTATCTCACAGGAGCCGACGTTACGATCAGGACAGACCACAAGTCACTGCAGTACATGCGCAACCAACCACAACTCAACCCACGACAAATCAGGTGGCTCGATTACCTCGAGTCAAATTTCAGCTACACCATCACGTACAAAAAGGGCGCCAACAACATCGTCGATGCCCGGACCCGCCCATCAATGCAGACCGCCGCAGTACTTATCGCCCATTCTAACCCTTTATTGGCAGGACCATTCAAGCACGGCTACAGGACTGACCGGTTTTTCGGGACGAATCAACACCAACGGGTTACTACGGCACATGGGATTTATTACCTAAAAGTCGGTACTAACCGAGTTTGGGTACCTTCCTACCGACCCCTACAAGAGTTGCTGAAGCAGGAGGTTCATGACTCCAAGCTCTCCAGGCACTTCGGCGTCGACAAAACGTTAAAGTTGCTACAGCGGAATTATTACTGGCCCGACATGACGTCGGACGTGCAGCACTACGTGTCCGCTTGCCCGACCTGCCAAGCGATGAAGTCATCACGCCAACGCCCAGCTGGATTGCTGCAGCCCCTCGAGCCACCCGAACGACCATGGCAACATGTGACAATGGACTACGTCACCTGGCTGCCAGCTGGCGCTGTCAAACATTATATATGTTATAGTTGTGTAGGCTATAGTGGGTTAGCCTTCTAGGGGGTACACTACTCTAGGGTTTGGTACTTGTACTCCCATTCCCTTTCTAGTTCACCATTCTCGTTCGTTCTTAGTTTGTAACATGGTATCACGAGCCTAGGTCGTAACCTAGGACCGACTGATAGGGCCCACCGTTTTCCGCTAGTAGCGCCCGAGCGCGCCTCGCCTAGTCGTGCCCTCGAGCGCCCTCCTCTTTTCTGCACCGTCGCGCGCCCTAGCGTGCCCCTTGCGAGCCGACCCCGCCCAGCCCGCACGCCCTAGCGTGCCCCGCGCGATCGGCCCCGCCCTCCTCGTACGCCCTAGCGTACGACCCGCGCAGCCCCACGCGCGTCGCCTGCCCCGCGCGCCCTTGCGCGCCTCGTACGGCCCCGCGCACTAGCTGCCCCGCGCGCCCTTGCGTGCCCCTTACGAACCGGCCCCGCCCTTCCTCGCGCGCCCTTGCGTGCCCCGTGCGACCGGCCCTGCCCCACCCGCGCGCCCTTGCGTGCCTCTCGAGAACCGGCCCCGCCCCGCTAGCTCGCCCTTACGTGCGCCGCGCGACCAGGCCCTGCCCCGCTCTGCACGCCCTCGCGTGCCCCTCGAGTACCGGCCCCGCCCCAATAGCCCGCCCTTGCGTGCCTCATGAGACCAGGCCCCGCCCCACAC